TTTGAACCACTCCATTAACTTATTATAGGGACAAAAAGGAAGCTATTTAAAATATAAAAAACAAATTAGCTTTAAGCAAACTTTAGTTTGGCCTATATGCAAAATACTGTGTGTGCTGGAAAACTGACTGACCATCGCCGTGACAATGATATTTTCATAGTGAAACATGTCGAGTGAGGGTGGAGTCATGCTGTGGGGATTATTTTCTTTAATTTTACTAGGGAGGCAGGTTATAGTTCACCAGGTAAATATGGATGGAGTAAAATCCATGGAAATCCATTGAGAAGAACTGCTGGAGAATGAAAAGACTTGAGATTGGGCTAAATGTTTAGGTTCCCCTACAACCTTCCTGAAAATATAAGGAGAAGTATACAATGACAACCCAGATCAAATGAGATTTATGTCTTACAATGCCCCAATATGTCCAGATGTACAGATCAGTTGAGAATCTATGACAAGACCTTAATTTGTCATTTACAGCTTCACACCATCAAATCTGACTCAGTTCAAATATCTACCTCAATTAACATATTTCAAATGTGCAAAACTCTGAGAGAGAGAGAAGTCAGCAGTCTGTAAGCAGAAGGTCTGTGTTGTTGTTTTTTTTTTTTTTGACAAAGCATTGACTAAGGGGGCTGAATAAAAGTACATGACACTATTCTATTATTGATAATATCTTATATTTTTCTTGACATTTCAAATCGTATGAAAGTATCTTCTCTGAGTGCATTTGACAAAAAAAGGTTAATTCAGTCCAGAAATACAGATTCCTGGTACCAGTTGTTATTTTTCAAGTTGGTTGAAAGTTTTCTGAATCAGGAAACCAGAAGGTTTCATTGAACCATTTTAATGGGCATGTAGCGACAGTGGAAAGTAAAACTCTATAACTGGAAAAAAAAAAAAAAAAAAACCCTCAGCAGAACCAGGCTCAGCATGAGAGGTTATCTGCACACAGAGTCATGTACACTGTTAGAGAATTATATTAGAGTATTTTGAAGGATGTGGTTAAATAGAAATTGTAATCAATTGAAATTAAGGAATCGTTGTTGAGTTTATGGTTTGTGTCTTTAAGGCAGGTAGAAACAAGAATATCTCTCAGAAATGTCCATAAAGATTAAAGCCACAAGTTATATGAACTTTCACTGGATTGTTCTACATTTTTTTAAAGCTGCCTAATATTCAGTCTTGATCATAAATAATGTGAATGACAAATCATTTTAACGGCACAAACAGTACATTTTCAAAATGTGAGTGATATAAACACCTTTGTTAAGGTACAAACACACACCTTTATGAATAGATTTTATATTGCATTCATTAGATAACACTTTTCAACAATATTTTTTTACAGTCAGGCATTGTTGTGTGATGGTCAGAGCTGCTTTATATTCAGCAGCAGTCTGTCCTGGCAATATCCTGTCTGTCTGAATAACGGAAAGGCAAGGCTTCTGTGTCTGAACAGAGAGAATTGATAAAGAATGGGTAAGTGGCTGCTTTCTACATGCCATACCTACAGCAACACACACACACACATATATATATATATATATATATATATATATATATATATATATATATATATAATCCGAATTCGATTTTTTTCCCTGAATGTGAACCTAATCTGCACGCAGATTAGGTTAATTTTGGGTTAAGTTTAGAGGTAGGCTGATATACAAAATCATATCAATATTTTTATTTTAACTTTTAATTCAAATGTCCTCAAAATTGTGTTATCATATATGCATATATGTTTGCAAAATAAAAAATAAGTCCAGATACAAACAAACGCTTATTATGAAGACATGAAGTACACACTGTTCTAAACTGTTGTGTCCCCCTGGTTGAATTCACTATTGTTTCCCCTTATGTATGTAAAACTATGAAAAAAATTATATTATCATTATCATTTGTGAATATTTAGCAGATTTCTGACTCATTTCTGATTATTATTGGTATCAGAAGTAGTTATATTTCTCTTAATTTCAGCAAACTCTCACCGAGAGTGTCTTCTGCCTAAATTATATTTTTCGAAAATAGATAAGAATATGCAGCATGAATATGAAGCACCAAACATTCCGACTGTGGAGTTTTAATGAGAAGAGAAGATACTGTAAGCCATTTTAATTAGCTTGTATAGGCTTTTACTGTTCTTGTTTGTGTGTTTATGATATAAATAGAAGTTTAAACCCTCAGATGCAGCTCTGACAGTCAAATGAAGTTCACCCGGGGTGAGCAGAGTAGAAAAAATGGTAGTTAAGAGGAAATACGTACTTTAAATCAATATTCTTACCTCAGCCAAAGAGGTTTTATTTTTAGGGGAGTTAATGTGTTTGTTTGTCTGAACATGTGTGCGTACAGAATAACTTGAAAAATTATGGACAGTTTTTAATGATTTTGTGCACAAAAGTCCAAGGAACAGTTCGTTAAATGCATCTGGATGCAGAAATTTTTCAAGCAGTTCCACCCTAAACCCAAGAGTGGTAACAGTGACTAATGACAGCTTCAGCACTGGACTCAAAAGTCCAGGTATTGTAATGAAGACAAGATTACAAAAATACAGGAAAGTCTTGATCTTCTGATCACAGAAGAGAGCAGAGGGCAGAGTGAATGAAGGAGGTGAGAGCAGAACAAACACCAGAGGCTGCAGACACATGCTATGCCTTATTTATACATTTATGAAAGGATTTTAGGGAAATCATTCCAGAGCTGCACCTAATGCCAAGGAGCAATTTATTGAAATTCGGTAATTATCCAGATAATGTGCAAGTTTTAGCTATAGGTGTAAATCACAATGTGGGGCAACATTTACTGCTTGAGGTCTCAGAGTGCTTTTCTAGTACTAATATTGTTTTGTAATTCCGTTGAAGGGTGGAGAAATGACAGGTAGCCTAAACAAAAAGAGCTAATCAGGAAAAATTGAGGAACAGCTGGGGCAGAGTGAAGGGGGAGCAATCAGAGGAGATGCAGAACAGCTGGCAGAATGAATGGGACGGCAGAGAGGAACAAAGCAGAGCTAACCCAAAAACTCTGAAATACAAAGAACACAAGAAAAGAATGATAATAATAAATATAAGAAAAGCTAAAGAAAGCATGACTTACTGTAGATAAAATACCAACAAAGAATTAGTCAAAATACAGACAATAAATAAAATAAAAACTCCAACGTGGAGCCAGCTCTATGCAAGGATGATCAGAGTGGTCGACATTGAACCAAACATGGGGTATATCCAATGCATACATTTGTTCCTATGAGGATAACCTTAACCTGGTAAAGTTTCATATACATTCACAGTAACCTGTTTGTTTTTTTAAAATCATTAAAGAAGCATGTGAGATTTTTTGAGGGACAAAAGAAAAGCCTTGCTTTTCACAGTAAAAAATAAGGCTACGTAGAAATAACATTTTATGTAGATTGACTTAGTGCCATATGTACTTAAATTATAGCAAAAACGGATGATTATTGTTAGTGAATCTTTTTGATTGTTATGTAACAGTTTGCACTGCATCACCATTTACATAATATGGTGATGATAATATGTATATTATAAAACTCATGATAAGTTATGAATTTTATGATATACAAGTGATATTAAGCTGAATATCAGGAGTAAACAATATACCAAAGTTCCAGTGAGGATACAAAATTAACCCATCAATGTTCTCCTAATTAGCAGGATTTCACAATCCATAGACAAATGGCCACCATGTTACTCACTGAAGCTGAAACAAAGAATAGCATCTGATTCTCCCAGAATGGCACTTTAGAGGACATCTGTCATTTCTGTGTTATGCATAATTAGCAACAAGAGCCATTCAAAGTACTAAACTTCAACAGTTATGGTGAAAATATTGAAAAGTAGCATTTGTTTTATGTTTTCTTTGGGAATACAGAAATTTAAAAGATCCACACAGGCAGAAAACTCTGGTACACTTCAGCATAATGTATTAAGTGACAAAGAGTAGAATAGCTTTTCAGCAAGCCTGCTAAAAAAAATGCATTCGGATTAATTTAGCACTCATGTCACAAACTACCTTGTTGAGACTCCGCACTCTGTTTTTATCAGTAAATTGAACTGGCTTAGCTGTCACCCAAGTGTGCAGCTTTAAAACGAGAACCAATTCTGCACAACAAATATCTGCCCAAGCACAGCGGTGGGCGCTGATTGTGTTTGTGTGCCCGTCTTTAGATGCAATAATGATAGCTTTAGTCTACAAGCTGGTTAATGAAAAGAAGATGAAGAGGGAGGCGCCAATTATGTTTAAACCTTCTATTCAGGAAGGGACAGTAGTTGTCATCATGAGGCGTTTATCTTCGTAACAAATTCTATCAAGCTCATAAAAACGTACTCATTCTTCTCAGTGGTTTAGCAAAAAGAAAGTGGAGCTCTGCTTTGAAATTCAACTCTCTTGAGATGTACTTCAGAACGTGTCAGACACTTAAAAGCAACTGCTCATCACTCTAAATGTGGCACTCTCATGGTGAAACATGATGGGGGCACCATTATAGTGCAGGTATGCTGTTCTTAGAAAGAAGGATGTCAAAGCAAGTTGTCAAAGTCACGTAGTCAAAAGCCGATATCCTGCAAATCTCAGATATTTCCCAGGTTGAACGCAACTGAATTAAACGCCTAAAATATCTACTAAGTTGCAGTCAAGTTCCTGTGCTTAGGACCTAATTTTTTGATTTAGGGGTGTTAAAGCAGAGACATTTAAACAGTGCAGGATACCGGCCCCCAAGGACTGGAGTCTGACATCTGTGTAATAGAGCCAGTAAAAGCATTTAGATCAATACTTGTGCGTTTCAATGGCTTAGTTTAAGCCGTGTTCACAGAAACATATCATCCAGTCTGACTGAGAAGTGGCTATTCTGCCAAGAAGAATGGACAAAAAGAAAAAAAGAATACCCAGGCAACTCGTTGCTTAAGATGGTTTATAAACTCTGGCAGTCTTTTGGTGTTTTACCTTCCCTACATCATCTCCTTCTGCTTTTATCATTACAGGGTCTCTGACACCTTGCATATACAAGTTTCCAGATCATGGATTGAGCAGCAGCTCTTGTGCTTTAAGTCACGGTTTTTCCTCGCTACCGTCTGCCCTCCTCTCAGCTGATGAGATCCCTGGGGGCCCCAGTGGAGAGGGGAAAGGTGACGCACAGAGGAAAGGGATGCGGGAGCAGGAGGATAGTGTCCCTTTAGATTCCCCACAGATACGGGAACTGGAGATGTTTGCAAATGACTTTAAAATACGCAGGATCAAACTCGGTGAGCACAACCTATAACTGATGCGTCTCCATCTAATGGATTTTTTTGTTTGGTATTAGATGTTTGTTTTTGTTGTTTTTTTTTTTTTATACATTAATCTTCCTTTCCCTCTGATGACTGTAATCTATGATGCATTGCTATTTCTGTTTTATTTTGACCCCCCCAGGCTACACTCAGACTAATGTAGGCGAGGCTCTTGCCGCAGTGCACGGCTCCGAGTTCAGCCAGACCACGATCTGCCGCTTTGAAAATTTGCAGCTGAGCTTTAAGAATGCCTGCAAACTCAAGGCCATTCTGTCAAAATGGCTCGACGAGGCTGAGCTGGCTGGTGGTGAGTCACATGAATCCATCCAGCCCCCATACAGTGTTTATTTACAGTAGGTGTCATCTTTATCCATCTCAGTGATGTTAAACCTGAACTTTGGATTTGTTGCCATAGTATTTTATGTAAGTGATATCACTAGGATGGTGTGCTAAAAAAGCACATTCCTGTTTTCTTTTTTAACCGTTCTGAAGAACGAAAGAAAGCACCTGAAGTGCAAGCTTGTTTTTGTTTGAATAATGATATAACACATTATTTGTGCCGCCTACAACTCAAAAGTATTTTTTATTTTTAAATATATGACAATTCATTGCACAATTCTTTATAACCCTCAAACTTTTTCACGCTGTCACATTGTAATCATAAACTTTTTTTTTTTCTGTTTTGAAATTTGCTGTGCTACACCAACAAAAAGCAATGCATATTTATGAAGTTGGAGAGCATTGCTTTCAAAAATAAGATATTTTAATCAGAGCAGCAGACAGAAGCCCACAGCTCAGGTGGGAGAATCTGTTGACAAAAATGAGTTGTACAATCCGTGCCATGAACAAGGCCAGTGTGGAAAGACAACAATTAGAAATCCCATTTACAGGTTAGAACATTGAAAATATGTGGAACGTCTTGCAAGTATGGATATAGTGCCGCATGAAAATGTATCCTCTCCTTCAAACCAGAGGTCGGCAACATGTGACTCCAGAGCCACATGTGGCCCTTAATACTGGCTAAAATGATATAAAGGACTAACTAATGTTCTTTAATAACAAATAACAGTCTTAGAAGCTTTAGTGCTTTTTGTAAAGAATATCTGAATTAAATTTTCACAATAGAATTAAAAAGAGACAGACATGTTTCATTTTAATTAAATTGGAAATTGTTTTAATATTTTATTTACTTCAAATAACACTTAATAGAAAAAAATCATGCTTCATCTAAATGAACTGTTCATGTTTTTCCTTATTTTAAAATCTAGAATTACAAATAAACTGTTGCTGTTAATATAATACTTATAAGAGGACTGAGATATTTTTGTGATGTTGCCAAGAACAAAAAAAAAAAAAAAAGCTGTGTCTGAATTTTATGATGTGTTTTTTTTCTGGTATCACAGCAAAGCATAAGTTTAGATAACAATATCTTTTTTCTCTTTCCTGTAGCCTTGTACAATGATAAAACAGGAATGAATGAGCGGAAGAGGAAAAGGAGAACAACCATCAGGTACACTTTTTGTGGAAGAAAAGTGTAAAAGCAATTTAATACATTTAATGTGAAGGATTTTTTTTAATCCCCTGTTTGCTACTACAGCCTTGGAGCTAAGGAGGCCCTGGAGCGCAGCTTTGTGGAGAAAAGTAAGCCCTCCTCACAGGAGATAGCCCGGATAGCCAAAGGGCTCCATCTGGAGAAGGAGGTGGTCAGAGTATGGTTCTGCAACAGACGCCAAAGAGAGAAACGTGTCAAAACAAGCCTCAGCCTGAGCTCCTGCTTGACCAAAATCAGCCCAAACTGCCTCACACAATTGGGCAAAACACAAAGACCACTCACGTAAATTAAAGTTCAGTTCAGCTGTCTTCAGAGCAAAAGTGACAAAGGGCTCCTTCATGACAACCTAACAAATTGACTATTCTTCAACAGCTCCAAAAGTAATAAATTCACTAGGAGCAGCTACAAAAAAAAATGCTTCTAAACACATTCCTTATGCTTTTTTTTTATTTTATTTTATTTTTTAGCTAAACTATGAATATCATAATATTTATTAGATTAAATAAAGATTTAAAGTTCGTTGCAAATATACCCTTATCCTTATATGGCATATAATTATTTTGGGGGATTTTATATGATAGACCAACACAGAAATATACATTTATAGAGTGGAAAGAAGCAAAAAGCATGGTTTTCACAATTTCTCTTGTGAGATATCAAATTGTAATATTTTGGTGCATTTTTAATGGCTATAACAGCTTTTCACGCTTGGACGTAGCTTGTCCAGCCAGACAGATATGACACATACGGTATGTTGGCACCAGTGTACGGACGCCTCGCTTCTATCAGTGAGCCCCAGGGCAGCTGTGGTTACAATGTAGCTCACCACCATCAGTGTGAGTGTGTGCGTGAATGGGTGAATGACTGAATGTAGTGTAAAGCACTTTGGTCAAGTCTCCTGACTTAACTAAGTGCTATATAAGGACAGGCCATTTAGCACACAGATGCTGTATCAGTCTAGTTGATTGCTGCTAGAGCTCGATTTCAAAGGCAGGAGTAACAGGGTCAGCCTCATCAGGTTAGAACCAATCAGATAATTCTGGATGTGGCGAAAAATCCAAGCAACACGCTCTGATTTTGTAATTTTGTTGTCCTTTAAACATGTCAAGCCATCAAATAAACTCCAGTGAACGATTTCTGCTGGTTCTGCCTTAAGAATCTGACAAAATAAGGCATGCTCTCTAGTACGTTCTTAATTTTCATTGCAAGATTGCAGGCTTGTTGTTCCGCTAGCAGAAAAGCAATGCTGCATTATGGGTAATTCTGGTGCTGAGAGTCACGCATCGTAAAGTGTCCACCTCCTGCGCTTTGAACGGTCCGACCAGATCTGGCTGGAGTCAACGGCAGTTTACCAGACTAAATTAAGGTCTTAGTAATTGAGTCTAGTTGGCGCGGCTTGTCTAAACATTAAAATGTTTCTTTTGTTTAAAAAAAAGCCCAAGTTCTTTCAGATTGGAATCATAGCATCTGTTAACATCAATTTTAAGTTTTTTTTTTTAACAGATTCTCAATTAGATTAAAGTTTGGACAAATTTGACACATGGATGTGCATGGACCTATATCACTGTATTGTAACTCTTGCTGTTTGTTCAGGGTTGATTGTCCTAATGGAAAATACCCTCCAACGACAACAGGACTTCCTTGCATTGAGCTGCATCCAGCTTCCCATCAACTCTTACCCCCTATTAGCTGCTGAAAAAAAGCATGATTATCATAGCATAATACCACCACTACCATGTTTCTCTAAGGGGTGAAGTGTTCACATCTATGTGCAGGCGTTCGCAATCTTCATCATGCCGTTTGTTCACTAATGTTCTCTAACACAGCTCTGAGGTTTCCACAGGACACCTGCATGGAGTTTTTTAGACATGTTAGATTTAACAAATCATTTAGTGGATATCAAAAGGCTGTTAGTTGTGCTGGATTTCATTCATTTGGTGTCATTCTAACAGAGGCTGATACAACGAAATGCCTTTGAATTTGAAGATCTTAAAAACCATGTAACGTTTTGCTTCTCCTACACAAATAAGCACAATTTTGTGTTTGTCTATCAAAAAAAAGAGTTAAAAAAACAACTTTGTTTGCCTTTGGAGGATGTAAAAATGATTATGAGTTCATTTGTAAGCAGCTGTATGTTACCCATGTATGTTTTCTATCTCCATTCCCGAGATACATACACTCTGCTCCCCTGAAAAACATACATTTAAATAAGGATAAATGTCAACATCAAATGCAACATTTGGTTTTATGAAGTTGAACTTTGAAGCCCATATAAACTGAATCCTGCTGTTGTCCAGTCCTGACATTTAAGCCTACTGGATCTCAGCTGCATTCTTGTTTCTTATATGAATACTAACCACGCCATTAGAGGCCAGGTGATTTCCACAGAAAAGCCCAGAATGCAGAGAATTACCTCTAAAAGATCAGCTCAGTGTTTTGTGACACGGTCATTTAATCAAAAAGTTCAAATGTTTTTTTTTAACGAAATGAACATCTGTTTTTAATATTTATGTATTTGTTCTAATTTTTTTGTCCTTTACCTTAATGAAGCCACTAATATATATTTATTTCCCAGTTGCTGACATCAATAATATTTTAATATTTTGTCAAGAATGTATTTTAAAAACTAATATATTTCCATGAGGTTTTTTGTTGCTATTTGTTTCTTTGATTGACAATTCAGGGTCATCAGTGACAGTACGTGGTATTCCGTCTGTTACCTTTGTAACGTTTTGATTTTTGCTTCTGTTGTTGCTGCTTTGACAAAGTGCGATACAATGGCGATCATTAGCCAGCGGGAACCCTAACCCTGTTGTGATGACGGATGTGAAATGTCTTCACAGAACGAGAGCCTGACATTTCTGACCTTAAATCACTGCAACTACAACTTAAGTGCCAATTACTGCAACATGGAACAGCTTAAAACTGATTCATGTAATGAGTCTATATTTGTTCCATAAAATGTCAGCAGGATTAATACAACCTTTATTCATGTCAAAAGATGTATTTTTTCAGTATACTTGTGTTAAAATGAACCGTCTGTCATAGTTAGATACCGGAAGGTGCCTTAGGTTCAACCGGTAAATTGAGTTTTATGATAAACTACTGCACCTGTGCCAAGTCTTGTTTTTACGGCTCTATTACCAAATCAATACACACATTAGGAAAACAGAGTAGGGTTTCATAAATAAAACTAGCCGACGTTTTAATTTAGGAACAAGCTGTTTCCACCTTGACTTATGTTGGTCTTTATATCTCCAGTGTTGTCCGGGGAATTGAGTACGGCGGGTTTATGTGCAACTTTTAGGATGCTGAGAGTTAAGAAGAGGTTATGCTTTAACAGAGTGGCTGGAAAGCTTCTTTATCAAGGTTCTTCTGCAGGCAGCGTTGGAAAATGTAAAATGTACTCTTTGTGTCTCCTGTAATTTTCCATGCATTTGGGATTGACGTAAAAAGAGGCAGGACGTTTTTGTTTACCTTGTTGTTGATAGATGTTCTGTTTTCTGTTGCACAACGTTAAAATCTATGCCTGTAATGCTGTGAAAATACCTGTAATAGTAAACGCATCAGTTTCTGAGTTCTTTTCTCTTGTTTTTAAGCTACAGAAATCTGTTTCATATCCTTTCCACTAAAGAAAACATGTGATTTCTTATCAGAGCAAAAAATTTTCTGGTGTCTTTTTTGCTTTTTTATTAAAGCAGTCTGTAAAAAAAAAAGAAAGAAAAAGAAAAGAAAACCCCAGGATATCATTATATGTTTTTAAGACAAATTAGTTTTTCCTCAATACACAGATTCAGTTTTCTTCGATTTTTTTCTGCGTTCAACTTAACTGGAAAAATAAACATCTCAAACATTTATCAGTAAGATTTTAAATCAATAATTTCTAAAAGTTAATGCAAAGCACTGACAGGTTTTTAATGGGATGGACGTTTGAAGCATGGTCAGATTCAGTGTTTGACCCTAAGCCAATCAGTGATCACTTTACATGATCCACCTCTATACTGTTCATCCATATTGTTCATCAGCAGATTGCTCCTGGACATCACGCTCTGTTAATTTATGTCTGTGGAAACGTTTTAAAGAGGAATTGTAATCCCCACACTGGAATGTGATCAGAATGCTTCAGCATGAAAGAAGATTCCTGGCTGGGCTCCTTTTCTCCATCGCTGCAGTGCTTTTCAGCAGATGCATTTAACAGTCTGAAGAAACTTTCCACAGAAAATAAATCATGAAACTGGTTCCACTGGTTTACCTCCTGTAGAATACCAGTGTCTCCTTGATGTTTTCACACCTGCCTGGTGCCTTTTTTGAGTACATTCTGTACAGCTGAAATCATCCTTTTTGGCAGACAGTTAAAGCATTGGATGGACTTTCCTGGTTAACCATGAGCTAAACACAAAAAACGATCTAGAAATAAGTAAACATTTCTTAAATTTAGTGTATTTACCCTTAATTCGAGTAGGTAAATGAGAGTTCCGTAAAAGTTTAAAAAGCAATCCACTGGACTTGGTTTCCAAGGTTTGAAGACATTTCACTTCCCCTCCAGGAAGCTTTCTCAATTAAATGAGAGTTTGCAAATGGAATGAGTATATTTAGATCATATGCACTTGAAATAAGAAATTGCAAGTGTGTGTTATTTTAAGTGTCAATTGTCTTGTTCCATTGGCAAAATGTATTTTACCTCCTCAATCCAAGAAGAAATACACTTATTTTAAGAAAAAATACTAGATTTTTTTATTTTTTTCCCAGTGCTTTTGTGATTTCTGTTCACTTTGTAAATATCTGCATTCTCCATTCCAAGCTAATCTCAATCCTACATCATAAAATGTAAATCCCAACTTTTTTTTTTTATATGTATATGGTCTAAAACTTATATACAGCTACATTACTTGGTAAGGAAACCTTAGACGGTCATGTTTGACCTTAATGGCGCCACTTTAATGTAAATGTCAGTAAGAATGCCACTTATACAGAAATAGAAGTTTAATGGATTGCGAGAGTACTTTTAGAGAAAAAAAATTATTTCCCTTTGTATATTAGAAAGTGTTATATTTAATTTAGAGGAACTTATAGTGGGTAAAATGTGAATTAAACGAGTCAACATTTTCTGAATAATTTCCAATGAGAGCGTTGACATGAAACTCACACTAGATGTCAGTAACAACCTAAGTAATCAACTCCTATTTGAAGGCAAAACTATTTTAAAACATACAGCAAAGGAGAAAAGTATAAACTCTGTAATGTCTTTACATGACTAAAGACTGAAATAAAGGGATTCTATAACCACGAAAATGTAGGAGTAAAAATTTTATTAATTAAAATGTAATTAATGTGTTATGATCTAAAGCCATCCTTAAACACTTTTATTCTACATTATTTATAAAAGAAAATGTAACCTAGTTTGATCAATACTTTTAATTTACCTTTCTTGGACAAAAATTGTGAACATTATTTTCCTTCTAAGTATGAATGGCGTTGGTATTTTAAACATCTGGCGTGAATTTCATGAATTAAAAAGGATTATAAGAGCTTATTTAGAATAGAATAAATAATGCTTGCAGTGTAACCTTTAAAGTGGAAAAAATGTACAAGATCCAATCTGAATGTACCATTCAGATTGGATCTTGTACATTTTTTCCACTTTAAACTTTATTCCTTATAAAAGCCATAAACCTTTTACAGAGCCAATTTACAATGAGAGAAGTCAACAAAAATCAGCATGAAAACCTTTTACATAAAATTCTACCCAGTCAAGCTCATCAAATTCTCAGAAGAGCCTAAATGCAATTCTGTAATTACCTTGGTCTGGTTCATGATATAGGGAGAAATAATTAGCAGAACCTCATTGGAGTCTATTATATGTCACACACGAGCATGAATGACACATTTTCAGTTCATTTTGGAAAAAGGAACTAATATGGAAAAGAAGGGCCTGAAAGGGGGGAAAAAATTACTTTACATGAGCAGATTTTGCCGTCTCTCTCACAAAAGCCAGAAGCTGCTGACATTAACAGTTCACTTAGTTGGAAAACCTGACATAAAACATGTTATATCACAGTGTCACTTCAGCATTCACTTCCATTGTTCAGTATCTGTAGTGTGTGTGTGTAGTTTCTTTTGTAAGAGGCGGCTTTTAATTCCTAAAGAAAGTAACTGCACAGCAGCTGGTAGAGAAAAGGGACTGCAGAACCAGTGCTTTCCTGCAATCGCTCATTAAATCAAAACAACCAAGAAGCCAAAACACAAAACCTCATTTCATTCCCATGTATCAACAGACAATCAATTTAAAACTCTGCCAGTGTTTCATTGAGTCAGGATTTAAGTTGAAGCTTCAAACTTAATGATGGTTATTCTAACACCTGCATGTAAATTTCCAGAGCTTTAGTAAGAAAATGCAAATGTGTCCACTGGGGGCTTTAATGGAGACGGTTCGCCTCAGAGAAAGCAAGTGCGATGGTTTTAAACGAAGCAAGAGCAACACAGACAGACGGTAAATGGTCTGAGAAACAGGAAGCATGTTCCATCTGTTTCTTGACCACCCTCAAGCTCTTTTTAATAACTATTTCTTTCATTAAAACTTCCTGGACTAACTACAGAGTGACGAAACCTGCTAGATGAAAAAGCCAATTCCAAGAAGCATTTGTAGCCCTTTAAAAGGCAAATTTACATCATTATTTGGGCCAACTTGTGGCCTTTCAAATGACATAATAAATATGTTCTCATAAATACGTGTCCAATGAACTTTAAGGCAATAAGCATAACAATGCGAGTAAACATCAGCCTGCCTGTTTGCCTTTGACTGTGTGTGTGTGTGTGTGTAATAGTGTAGCACTTAAAACCTGACTAAACCAGTGCGTCTGACAGAGGCTGCATCAACCAGTTTTGAGTTGCACCAGTTTAGAATGTAAACAATAACAAGACGGATAATTAATCCACTCCCAGAGCTCGAAGTTGTCTCTCGATCTCGTCGTCAGAAATGGTGGCTTGTTTGGAGGAGGCGGAACTGGGGATGCTTTTTCCTGCAGCTGGTGCTCTGACCATCTGGAATCATAGATTGGGAGAAAAGCACCATTACCAAGAGGACTTGATTAGCAAATGATTAAATAATCGCACTGAGATTTAGTCTTTGTTTATTACTTGATGTTAAGAATAGTTGGATTTGAGCCCAACCACAAAAACAAAACAAAATTAGATGTTGAGATGAGGGATTTCCTAGACAACATTACAAAGATTTCAGACATAATGTGTTCAAAGACTTAATACAGCATCTAATGAGTGTTTAAAGCTGTTAAATTTTTTCACAACTGCAACCTTTGCCTTGTTTTACATTGATTTGTGATTGTCCACCAAAAACAAGAAAATACCTATAGAATAAAAGAGTAATTAAACATGATATTTACACATTAAAATCTAAACATCTATTGATCATTTGGGAAACTTAAGTACACAGTTGGCTGGGCGACGTCTTATTTCTTCACATTTTCATTTTTTTTTAACAATTACCTGCATTTAAAATCTGATTGTGATTTGAAAAGAATCAGAGGGGCTCAAGTGTTTGGTCAGATTACATTTAACAAGTATAATATGCTCTTAATGTTGCATTAATACACATAAAGAAAGGAATTAAGAGTTAAAACTAGCTCTCAGGTCCATGCATGTAACTTATAGGGAAGTACTTTTCTAAGCAGCAGTAAAGTCCTGCAACAATGAACTCTGGACAAGAAAGCCTTATTAACCCACAGAGGAAAGCTCTGTCTGTTTTCTGTGTGAAGTCTGAGGTATTTTCATCACCTTTAATGATCAGGAACTTTACTATTGGATTAAGTAGCATAGGACTGCAACTTACGATTTTTTTATCTGTCAATTATTTTTTCCATTAATCAATTAATAATCAGGTAGCCAATGGTTCCTTAAAGAAGCGTTTTTACGAAATCAAACAAGATGAAACTAAAACTTTTCGACTAAAGGAGTTCTGGTTAGAGCAGAAAATTAATCTTTTTTTACCTTAAAAATTTTGTCTGCAAAATGTTTTCATATGTTTTTTATTTTTATTTTGACATAATCACTGCTCTAAGTGGGTTGCTCTGTCAGCTAAAGGCATGTTTTAGAGTCTCTATACTCTAGTTAATGATTAATCGATTAATGAATTAGTTGACAATTATTTCAATATTCGATTAATCTGACTAATCTGATCAATTGTTTCAGCCCTAAAGCAGCAGTAAAACTCTTTTATACATAGACTTGTTTGTTATATATATTCAATCCCATTCAGTTTATTTATATAGTGACAATTCACAACACATTATCTCAAGGCACTTTACAATTTAATCAGATCAACCAGATCATACAGTCAAATTGTTTTAAAGTTTTCTATCTAAGGAAAACCAGTTGACTGCTTATATGTTAGCTCAAGAAGCTTTTCTCTTTGAAATAAAAATTTTCAGATCAATTAGGAAAACTTTTTCATTTCTTATTTTAATAAGACCTTGTCTACAAACATGCATATCCAGAAGATTTTCGCTTCAGGAGAATGACAATAAAATCCTAATTGTGTTTAAAAAACAAACTTGGTTAAAATGTTTATGTATGACACAAATTGCACAGCCCTTGTTAAAAAAAAAAAGCATCTTTCTAGTTTCTCTGTTTTCCCAGATAAACCACTGTTTGGATAAACCACTAACCCACATCACTCATTTATTTCTAGACATCTGATGGCGAACCATCCACTGTAGCATCTTTTTAGAACCATGATGTCTGGTTAGGGTTTTCAAAAGTTTTAAAACTCAAACTCTGTATCCAAACACAATAATAATTTGGCATAGTATTAATATATATATAAAACAAAATTAGGATTAAAAAACATCTTTAAAAAAAATAATATTTTCACATAAAAAAAATACATCAAACAGCATAAAATATAAAGAAACATGTTAGATGTTGGTTATTTATTTTGCATTTATTCGCACATTTATTTAACTTCTGTAATTTTGTTTAGAAAGCAGGAAAATGGTGAGTTTTTCATGGATTTTTATGTTTTAACCTGAATTTTTTACCCCCATGGTATCGAAAACAGTCTCGAGTATCTCATATTTTGCTGGGTTTAGATATCAAGTTTGCACTTTTATTATTGTGAACACCCTATACCTGGTATTAAACAAATACTACAGCAATCACCAGCATAACATTGATTCTTGCAGGTCTCCAAAATACTACATCAGGGTTTTATCAGGTGTGATCGACTCAAATTTAAGAAATTCCCCTTGGAAGGTGGTGTTCACTTTAAAATTTCAGGGTAAGAAAATGGATGAAACTTTTGGAGTAAAGTTTAATTTCCATGTGATTCAGCACCTTTCTAGTCCATTTCTATTAATCTCAGGCAAGAAAACATACTTTGTTTTCTCTCATCAACAAAGCAAACATTACCAGAGCTCTAATAAAAGATGTGTTCTGCATTTTATAGTTACTCCCTCCTAAGACAAAGGATAATATTATCAAGCTGCCTGTATGTTCACTACAGCTGTGGGTGCAGTTATTGGGCAATGTGTGCATTTCTGCAGCGAATAGAGGGTAATAATTCATGAAGCCCCCCAGGGGGAGCCAGACACACAGCAGACGGAGAGTATGCAGAGCCTGAAGAGCTGTAGGCTAGCCCCACCATGTGGCAGCTGTTATGCATTTTAACAGCTGAGTAAAAGAAAAGCTATGAGGAGAATTCATTTGTCTGTGAACCAGGAGCTTAAAGACCACTTTACAAAACATTTTCACAATGTAATGAGTAGAAGACTTAAAATTGACTCTCGTGGGTAAAATAAGAAGAATCCAATTCTGTTTCTTACCTTTCCTGAGATCTCGATGCCGATCTCATCCAGGACCTGGTTGACGATGTCCTGAGATTCTTCTTCATCATCAGAGGCATCGAAAATATCATCTAAAGTGTCGTTAACTGGGCAACGATGATAAAGGGAAGGGAAGGAAAAAGGTAAACCAACAAAATGTTAAGGTCATTTTGAAACTTAAAGGAAAGTATTCATTTAAAAATTCTTAAATTTGGCTTCCAAAAATCTTTTATTTTTTTCATCCAAATTATTACATCCTTAAACCAACCTGGTAAATCTTTAAACTTTTGATAAATTCTTATCCATATCACATTTTTGTGCATTATGGGCACTTACTCATGTCCTCTGTCATCTCCATCTTCATGTTCTCCTTCTGGAAGTCCTGCATGGTCTTCAGCGTTTTCTGTGGATCCATTTTCTTATTCACAGCCTGCATCGTCTAAAAAACAATAGCAGCAAGAGAGAGACATTTTTTTTAAAGCCCCATAAACTTCAATTGTTAGGATCCTCCCTTAGCTGATCAAAATATAAAATGATTACATTTGCAAAGACTGAAGTTTGCTTTAATTTGAATTTCAGCTCTGAATAAATAAGAATTGATGCTAATGATAAAGAGTCCAGCTGAGGGAAGCTAATGGAGACCAACAACTGATCGGGATATTAGGGGAATCAAAACAGCAACATCTAATATAAAACTGAAACAAGAACATTTAGAAAGGGCTGAATTAATAAAAGTTCTCAGTCTTTTTCTTTTATGCATGTTTGCTGCTGAAATCCAAATCTCTTCACCAAAGCTGTGTCTCATTTTTAAAATCAACAGGTTAGTTTCACATCCAACTTCCTTTTAAGCACTGCTGATTGTTGCTGATCAAAGGTCAGCTTTTAAAATGACAACAGAAAAAAAACAGCAGAACAAGCACTCAAATTTGTATAAAATAGTAAAAATGTAGGATGTGAAGGATCTAAGGAGAGCTTAAAAATGAAGAAAGAAGAAGAAAACGGAGCACTAGTAGTAGACCCCGAAAAATCTCAGCGGAGCCAAACTGGAGGGTCTGAATGGCTGTTTTTGAAGACAAAGGGGCCATCCTCGTCCCATTACTGGCAGCAGCCCAACAACCATCAGACGGCATCTCCCAATGGAGTGCTTCAAAAACATGACACAAAATTGCCTGTTTGGACTCGGTGGGCGAGCAACAAACATAGTGCCTTCAAATGTGGAAAAGGTTTTATTTCCTGATGAGAAAAGTTTAATGTCAATGTTCCTGATGGCTTCAAACTTTACTAGCGTGAGAAGGAGATGAAACCTAACATGTTTTAATCGCAGCAATGGAGGGAGCGCCATCATGGTCAGGGCTGCTTTTAGCTTCATCAGAACAATGGAGATCAAGGTTGTACAGGTGCTTCAAATAGCAGCTGGCTGTGAGGAGACGTTGCATCCCTCATGACTGAGACCAAGACTTTTCCCTCTTTTGGGCCATCCTGTGTCTTCCCCTGAACTTATTCCAATTAGGAAGATTTGAAGAGTGATGGCGAGGGAGGTTTACAAAAATGGACATCAGTTCCAGACAGCGGATCCCCTTCATGAAGCCACCTTCAGCCCTTGGAGCAACATTCCCTCAAGGAAACACTTACACCAAGCATGCCAAAATGAATTTGAGAAGTGATCAATAATAATGGTTGGAGCTATTCATCATTAGCTCTGTCCATTTTGGACACTTTCATTCCTGTTTTAGGTTACTTTTAACCGTGGTCTTAAACTTTTGATCAACCCGTTGACAACCTATTTGAATTCATTTGTTGTTTTCAATAAATTTCCTGCTGACAACTCTATTGTTCTGTCTATTGTTCCTATTTCTTTCTTATTTTTTATTTTGAAGCTTAACCTTCAAATCCAACAATGCAAATTCATACAATTTCTTAACCGGTCTTCAGATTTTAATCAGGATTATATATAAAAAAAAAACGTGTTTCAAAGAGCATCCCACATGTATTAAACCAACTCGGCGTGTAACTAACATTAAGCTGCTAATATCTTTTTTTTGACACCTTAATGCACAGACACCTCGCCACCCTCCATTAATCTGATGCCTAATTATATTTAACCTATCTGTGTGGATGTACAATACATCGCTCCTGGCCAATAAAAGCATCACACTTCATTAACGATGATGGTGGGACTTCGCTGTGACACAAACAGCTTCTACAGTTTATCTTCTTATGACAGTGTTAAGATTTTAGCATAAAATAAATGAAAAGAAAATTAGAAAATAACTTATGACTATATTTCTGGCCGCTGCTATATGCAAAGAGTAGTAATTCTTATGTTTAGCAGATAAAAACCAGGCACACCGGACCTTAGCCTAGCTAACGATGTAGGATTTTACCTTGGCTGTGGTGGACATGGCACCAGCCATCTTCATTTGGGAGTTCATGACTTTAGCTTGCGTTGACATGGAGGTGACCTTGGAGCTCACAGCGTACGTCCGGTTCTTCTGCTTCCTCAGCTGGACCAACTGCTTTGCGAGGATCTTACATGCCTCCTTGTTTCCGCTTTTTGCCATTTTCTTGATCTCCATCTCCTACAGCGAAAACAGAACATATGAGCCCAAATTAAGATTCTCTTTTATTCAAGGATTTTTCCTGCCAATTTCTCAATGTTCTAGGACATGAAAACATAAGAATTAATGTATATTAAGCTTTTAAAATAACTGTTCCTAACATTTAGCTCAAAACAAACCTTCCCTCTAAATATTAATGGCTGTTTTCTGAATAAAACCAATGTCTTCAGGAATGCCTAACGATATAAATAAATTAATTAGGGCTGCAGCTAACGGTTATTTTGCAAATCAATTTATCTGTTGATTATGTCTGATAAATCTATCAATAATCAGATAGCAAAAGGTTCCTTAAAGAAGACATTTCACAAAATCAAACCAGATTAAACTAAAACGTTTCCACTTGAGGAGGCTGGATAGATATTGATGGACAGAAAATATTCTTTCATCTTAAATGCAAAATGTTTATATATTTTTCTTCTACAATTTGGGTAAAATTACTGCTCTAAGTGGGTCGCTCTGTCAGCTTAAGGCATGTTTTAGAGTCTCCAAACTCCACTTAACGATCAAACTATTACTAAATTGGTTGATGATTATTTTAAGAATCGATTAATCGAGATTAATCGGATTAATTGTTTAAGCCCTAAAATAAATCTCAGAGACTTAGACTTAGATAGAAGGGATTACTCCCTTCGGGAAATTGTATTTCCAGTAGCAGGAAAAATTGCACATACAAGAAAATAAAGGATGTTTAGACACAGTATATACAATAGAAAAATAAAAACAATTAAATAAGGTGTAGGAAGATGTATTGGGGGATGAGGATAGACAAATAAATACAGAGGGCTTTAGCAAAAACAATGACTTAAATTAACAGTTATTTAGTGTATTGCACTTGAATGGTTGAGAAAAAGATGCTGAACAGTTAAATACAGACAGCTTAAACTCAGTCTTTAAGGTAAAATGCCATTTTTTGGGAAGCCAATTCCTCCATTTAGTTTTAGTAAACATGAGAGAGAATACTGATGCCTTCAGGGATCCAGCATGTGAGCAGGAGTATCGTAGAGCATCCCAGGGGACTATGTAATAGCTGCAGGTACAATGAGCTGGCAAGACCTCCCAACAACAGCATGTAAATAGTCTTTATTTCCTGCAAACTCAAATCATCCTCTTTTTAGAAACTAATCATCAATTATTTATATGGAATCTAAAAAAGAAAAACTAAAAAGCTAAATGCTTCCACCTCTTATCACAAAACATTTGTGGAACGTCATTAATAAAATGCATTGTAGAATAGAATAGAAAATCCCTTTATTGTCCCACAGTGGGGAAATTCTGGTGTTTACAGAAGCAAAAAGTTCACAAAAAATGTGGACCTTAGAAAAATGTATAAGAATAATATACTAGTGAAGAGTTAAAAGATAAACAATAAAATACTGTACTGTAAAGTGTTTTAACAATATAAAACTGTGCACCTGGAGAATAAAATAATCAATATTCAGCCATGGATAGTTATACAGTAATGGATATTTGAAAAATAGCAGCAACTTCTGAGATGTGCAAAATGATAGCAGCATGTTATTTAACTGGCAAAGATAGAAACTGTGCAAAATCAGCATGAATGGAACAACTTATTGAGGTTGTTGGGAACAGTGGTGTTAAAAGTCTTAAAGCTGCTGGGAGGAAGGATCTGTGATAAAGCTCCCTGGTGCATTTAGGGTGCAGTAGTCTGTCACTGAAGGAGCTCTCCAGTTCTGCAAGTTTCACGCATGGGGTGGGAAACATTATCCAACAGAGATGTTAATTTAGTTCGGATCCTTTTGTTTCCCTCCTCCTGTACTGAGTCCAGAGGGGATTATGCTGGGATCATATTCTGTTTCCTAAAAACGGTTTGACACTGAGTATAATCTTTAAGGAAAATAGCTGCATTATAAACTGCGGTGTTATCAGAAAATCTCAACGTAACAGCAAGAAGACAGGGAAACTGGTGTTAATGTTGATGGGAGCCTCTCACTAACTCATTTAGCTTTTAGACGTAAAGAAGAGAGCTCTGCTGTGATGGATTATTCCTTTCATAGATGTGATGTAATGCAGCACTCGGCTGAGAGGCTGTTACACTTTTCCTCCATAGGAGAACAATAGATGGACAATCAGAAACTAAAGCAGCTTCGATCTACGATTACGCCAATGTTTTTATTGTCTGCTGTAAACAATATAAAGTGCTTTCTTTTTTTTTTTAAAGAAACCAAAGCATAATTTCTGTTTGATTTTTTTTTTCACATTAAGAAACTGAGATGAATCAAGAAACTGATGAAAAAAATTATGATTTACAGTTTGATCAGCCCTGATATGTAACCACTGGATTAGAATCTCAAAGATCCTACCTTTCCTCATTCAGTGAACACACCATAGCTAAGTGCCATCAAGTCTGACAGCCTTGGAAGTTATTACTGGTTGAACACTCAGCTATTTTCAGCATTAGGGTGATATATAGGATCAAGTCTGAAGAAGTGAAAAGGCTCTAAGAGGTCATTCAAAATGAAGCTTTATCCCCTACAGAATAGGACTGTCGAATAAAAAAAGGAAATAAATAAATGTTCTTATTCAAAATCAGTTCTCATATTAACTTATAAAGGTTGATTCGTATGAACAGAGCTAGTTAAACTAGTTGAATGAGACCTCTGTCAGGGCCCAAGGGGGTCTATATCGCTATTACTGGCAATAATGGGAAATGCTGTCTTCCTTCAGGCAAAACAATACAGCTTTTGTCCACTGGGTGGAGCCAAAATAGACCAAAGCAGAAGGATTTTTAGAACTGCTTTAATATTATACTAGTCTTAATATGTTGCATAACTACACAGTCATGTTATTCAGGTAAACGTAAAAAAACAACAAACAAAAAAAACGGTTATTTAAAATCAACAATCCAATTTGAAATCATAACGGATTGGAAATAATCAATTCTAAATCTTGAGACCTGAAAAAAATCAGTTCTTGAAATTGGAATCGATCCCCAGCCCCATAACAGAGACTGATTTGTTGTTTATTTAAGTTCCTTTGGCAGAAAGCTAGACATTTCCCTCTGCCAGAATTTACAGACGTCTACAAAAGGCTACTTAAAAAAGAAAAAATAAAGATATGCACTTTCTTTTTATCCAATACCCTAATGCACCTTATTTATTATAAAGGAACAACTTTATATTAAGGGTAAGATCCTTTCCTTAACCGGTTGTGGTGTAAACATCCAGAGGTTCACAATAGTACGTAAGCTGTGCTTAAAAGTAATGGAGCTAAATTGCCCTTAAAAAAGAATAAAAGAAAAAAAATGCATTCCAGAAGTGTCAAGTTGTTAAGTCTACCACTACAACAACAACAAAAATACGTTCAAAGTTAATAATCAGTTAGGTTGTAGGAAAATTGAGTTCAGCCAATGGTCTGGCGGGAGACACATTAACAGGAAACTCTGACACTAAATACATTTTTAAATCTTTTTTTTTTGTAAATCAGTGAAACCCTACAGTTCCTCTCAGACACACCTGCTGACTGAACTCTCTGCTCCTAATCTAAATAATTAATGATTTTTCTAGGTCGAAAGGCTGGAATTGAAATTCCAACACTTTTGTTATAGTTCTTCAAGACAAAGAAGAATTTAGAAAGTCAGAGATTTATACTTAATAGAGTTAGATTTTGGCTCCACATTAGGAAAATCTGTTAGACAGAAATAAAATAGAGTTAAGCCTAATTGGTCCTCCTTAACTTTATGGCTAATTAAAAAGCAATGAAGCAAATATGCTGCATAAAACCTCACAATAAATATCAATATATATTAATATCAACCTTGCCAGTCAAATTCTACTAATTCTAAGATTTTATTTTGCTCTCATCTTCCCTTGTGTAAAATGTAATATACATCATAATAAGACATTGAATCTTTGGCTTTTTGCCACCTTTAATAAAGGCTCTGCCTATAAATCTGAGAGTGGACACATTTTTTTTTATTGCAAGCACAATAGGGGACCCTTATGATTGTGCTAACTTGCAGATATAAGCAATTTTCATTTGTAAGCCAAGATCTTTTTCATGCAAGGCATGCAACAAAGCTTAAAAGACCAGACTAATTAGCAGAAAGCATTAATGAAGAACAAAAAAGGGGTTCCCCAGGGAGGTAATTATGACCCATTTGATATTTACTTAATACAACTAAATGAGGAAGACCCCCCTCTGTCCCTTTTATCTTACAAAAACAGGAGATGTAAGGTACGGTGGTGACTATAGCCTCATGGAGTGAGCCGTGCATCTCACTTGCCTAAAGCAAAGCCGACACACTGGATCGTTCTCATCTTTTTCCTTAGACCCATTAGCCACTTAGGCTCAGTCCTCAGAGGTGAACGGCAGACTAAACATTTTTCTGGGACTTTTTTGAGAGCATCACACACTGGGGGACCTGAAAGCTTTGACGCAATATCTTGAAATCTTACAAGAATACTGTGCACACATTCTTTCTTCCTCTCCTATTTTTTATTTTTTTTTTTTTTTTACACTTATGTGGTGAGTGCGTGTGATTGCTAACCATTTGTTTCTCTTGTTTCTCCAGCGCTGCTCGGTCCCTGGTGATCTGTCTCTGAGTGCCTCGTAGCTCCTTAGACTGTTCCTTGATGATGTCTGGAGAAAAAGCAAAATGAGTTTAATGCTTTATATCAATCAACCAATCTGATTTAATTGGTTAAGCCTTCTTAATGCAATCAGCTAAAACACCAACTCATTTTCAGGGAAGAAAAAGCACAGAATAATTCCATTAAAAAAAATGCTAAGCCATTTAGATAAAATTCCACTTTTTTCTGTCACAGAAAAAAAAATCCCAGCTGAAAGATATAAATGTTTAAATATTAAGGCACTATGATATTACACTAAAAGACTTTTATTTCAAGCTGATTAATAACAAAAAAGAAAATTGCATTATATATTAGATCAAATATTCAATGGTGATAAAATACCCTAATTAATTTAAAATTGCAACATTATATTTTATTAGGAATAAATGGTAAAAAAAAAAAAAAAAAGCATAATGAAAATACAATATCAATAAAGATAAAGCAGAATTAGTTAAGTTCAACTAATTGCCAGCTCAATAAAAATGCATCTTTAATTTGCTTTAAAAAAGACGAACCACTCAAATGTTCTTTTGCCTAAATAAAAGCTTTTAAACTTGAATAAAACTCTAACAGCCCTTTTATTTGTGCATGACATCTCATAATAAAAAATAAAAAGGAAACAAAAAATAATACCTTCCTCCTACAATATAGCCAATAAACAGTATTCCCTATGAAAAAAAACAAAAACATTGTAGTTAAGCCTGATAGCAGGCTTGTTTGGTTTTCTGTCCCCAGATTCTTGGAGAATACCAGAGGATGATCAGCAACACACTGAATACCAACAGACAACTGTGGCAACTGCTCTCGCAGCTGACATCAGTATTGAGCCAATCAGCTCTAAACCTCCAAACCAACACAAAACAGCAATAAATCATGTGAGACGATGTGCAATTCAGGAGTCACACAACCATCAATGACTTGTGAAACAGAGCAGAGTGAAATAACCAGCATAATTCAAATGGCTGCCAGAAAAAAAAGTAAAAAAATTAAAAAATTAACTGATGTTGTTGGTCCAAAGTCTGAGATGTATCTATAAGACTTTTTTTTTTTTTTTACAGACAAACATTAAAAGTGCATAAAATATAGAATATATATTTTATATCAATTGTTTTCATTCTTAAAGTTATAAAAATGTTTACCATTTATGTTCATTGTAAAATTAATCAAATCAAGAATCTTGTAAAAAAAAAAAAAAAAAACAGAAAAAAAAATGTCTTCAAATGTTTAAATGTATATGTAACATATCCTATTAGTCCACACTGTAAATTCAAATTATGTATAATATTTAGACAGAACATAAAAAGGAATTAAAAAATAAATAAATAGAAGTATAAACCAAACTGACCAACCTGCTAAACCTGACTTTATAAATAAAATGACAGAATATCACATCCTGTCAAAGCAGTGGGGAGCGCTCATACAAAGCTCATCCAGTAAAAAAAAAGTTAAACTATATTGGACCAATTGTTAAGGATGATGCATAAGTGCGTATAAGGTGACGTACAACCAACGTATCAAAGTGGGAGGGATATCGTCCTACAAATATGTGCGATCTAACCCCCCCACCAACAACCACGGCTGGTAAATTAAAAAATGTGAAACTTCTTCGACTACCAGACCTGAAATCCAAGAATTCCCCAAACCCTCAGTCCACAGAGTGAAAGGGTGAAGAAAAACTAAATAAATGAAAGAGACAAGAAACTGCAAAAAGGAAAAAAGACATGGCTGATGAAGATCTGATGACAGCTCAACATACAGTGGAGGTAAAGGGAGCACAGTGAGTAGAGAATGCAGATTGTTGCTTTGGGTGAGGCTGGCATGACTGGGATGGGAGGAGTATGAAATGCAACAGAACAGCTAAGCCTGTCTTCTCTAACCTAGTGTCTCTAACATTTAGAGAAAGAAAAATAAGCTACAGTGGTGGAAAATAGTATTTTCAGCCCCGAGAGTTTTTTTTTCTTAATGGATTAATTCATTTTTAAGAAAATGCTGTCAAATTTTCCATTTTCCACTTGATGGACTTATCTGAATAATATATTTATATTATATAGCTTGTGTAAAATAAACACATCAATAAAATGAACAGATGACAGCATGCCTTAGACGTCATACTTTAACAACCCTTCACATTTATGAAGCTGCTCATTTTCACCCTCCTGTTAACCTCAGTAGTTTTTACATTCAGCTGTCTAAATATCTTTAAATCTCAAATGTAAAACAAACACAGAAAAAGGTCAGAAATACAAAAATTGGCATTATACTGACGAGAATGAGTTAAAAAAAATCAGATATTTTGTCAATAAAAACAGTTTAAATTTAACTGTCTTTAATGCTTATAAGTGGATCGACAGGTTGACGTTTCAAATAAATGAAATAAAGTCACATTTATTAAGTTATAGCAGAATACAACATACTCTCCCTACATTTACAGCTTTGGTTATAACTTGTATTTAATAACAGCTATTGGGTGAGAAAACAACAAGTCTTCTTGTATTTCAACGCCATTTAGTTGTGTTTTTAACTGCCTTCTTTCTATCCTAGCTTGCTTGTTCAACCCAGGCAGAGTTTGGCGATGTTTCGACGCTTTCTCCCTCTTAGTAACGTGACTGGTGACTCAACAAAACCGAAAACAGGTCCAACGAGTTATAAGAGGAAAGCTAACACAACGGGCTATAAAAAGCAGGGCTAAAAACAAGTTAGCTAGCTTATTTCTTTATTTTTTTACACAGCTCAAACTTACCATCGACAGTCTTCTTCTTGAAAAGGGAAGCCATGACGCTACACTGTATCTAACTAAATATTAAATTGAGAAGCCGTGGAGTTTGACACGGTCTTGGTTTGAGTCGTCGTTCAGCCGTCAGCCCGGGACGGTGCTGTTTGTCTGCTCCTTCGTTTCCTGGTTGACTTCTGCTGCTGGAGTTCCTCCCTCAGCTGGCGTCACGGCGGGACCCGTGTGATGCCTTTGAGTGTACTCCGGAATATTTACTTTTAGTTTGCGAATATGGCTAAAAACGCATAAAAATGTTGTGTTTTCTTTAATAAATTAGAAAAACGTAAATTATGTTGGGTGGTAGAGATCAAAGTATTCAATATTTTATCAGCGTCTTACCACAATCTTCCATCAGAAAAATAGAACTACATTGCAGGCTCAATTTCTACAGTTTTTACTAAGCATTATCAATAAAGGCTATTCTTTATTGGAAAAATAATATGTCATACGGAACACTTCAAGTATATTATTTTCAGAACATTGCAAAGAAAAGTCCCTTAATTGGGGTGATTTTACAAAAAAAATTCTATAAAAACTATTATTGATGTTGGTCTTGAATGTAACGCAGGAATGGGAACTTCAGGATAACAAAGAAATGTGCTCATTTTATTGCTTGGGAAGGGAAAGCAAGCAAATGATGTCATTTTATATAAGACTTGTTAATTTTTAAAGACAGTTAAAACATTTTCTGTTTAATTTAGCTTTTTCTTGCTAATCTAAGCTTTGCAGCTTTTCTTTTGCCATTTGCCTCAACAGAATTTGTATAGTTTACCTTTCACTACTCACAACAAAAGTAGCCATTCATATGAATGTTTCATCCCTTTTTATGCTGGTGAAGATTCTCAGTCCTCCAGGTCATAGTCATTCCTAAAAAAGTTGTTTAAAACTTGGAAACAAAGTCCAGTGTGGATTGTTTTTTAACTTTTGGGGCATTACCCTTTTTAAATCTAAAATATCATGAAATGGAGAGTAACAAAATCATGTATTAACAGTTGTTGTTTATTTTAATCTGAACTGTGAATTTCAGTCCTCATCAGGCAATACGTCACTACAATTGAGGTCTTTACAAGTCAAACATATCCAGACACTGACATTGACTCGACTTTTAAGTATAATTTTATCCAATAACCTTCTGGTTACATTAGTTTGATGGTTTGGAGTCCTGCAATAACAAGAGGGTGAATTTGAAAAGGTTACGTCTTTCAGCCTCTAATTGGTTTCCTTTCGATAGTGACTTATTCCTATTGAAAATAAAGCATCCCTAAAGGCAGGCCAAATCCTTGATAAAATTACTTTACCCACATTTCTGCTATATCCACTAAAATTCTACAAAAAAATACCCCAAACTCAATTTTCTGAAATAAGTTCCTGTTTTCTCAAACTTTATTTAATTCTTAGCCTGTTAATGCAATTCTTAAACTTTATAAAATTTCGGGCAAAAGTTTTGAGCTGTGCAACATTTTAGTCCAACTATACTTAATCCAAATGATTACTGTTAATTCTTAAATTCGTATGTTTAATCTTTGATTCCTAAGCGATTTGTGCAGATTTTTTATTTTTATTTTTTTGTGTTTCCCACTTAAACATTGCTGTATTCAGGACCAGCATAACAGCTGCACTATGTTGAATAAAGAGTATCCCAAGTAGAAGTTAGTGCCATTTTATTACATATTGAGTCAAAACACTTTAAAGGAGGATAGTAAAATGTAATCATATCTGAATCTTAGATATAGTAATTGATATATTCTTAGCTGATTATTAACATTGGTCCTGTATGCATTATAGATTCTTGTGAGCCACCCTAAATTCTTGAAAATATGCAAATAATGTCAAATCTCACAAGTTATCTTTACCTGTCCTAGGTGTGTTGCAATTGTCTCAATTTGAACATTGGACCCTAAAAACAATAGTGTTTCAAGAATCCTTAGAAATCTAAAAATTAAGCAGTACAGCTGGGATTTTTAAACCAGGGAACTGCTACTATTCAAACCTGAATTAAAATTCCTCCCATATTTTTTTAACATTCATTTTGCTAAATAACTACAAATCTGTATAGTTTTATTTTGGTTCACAGTTACTGGATTGCATTAACATTCAATTCCAATAAAATATCAAATTTACGGTTAAAATGTGACAAACTGTGATATCATTTTAAGAACATAAAGGCAAATGAAAATCACTTTAAAAGCAAAATCAGGCACACACAAGACAGTCAGCAAAGACTGCAGGTGAGTCGAGAAGAGTGGGAACAGGTTTAGCAAGTTTGACTCTGAGGACTCAGGTATTATGACATCAATGCAGCTAAAAATAATCTTCTGTTTTGTCTTACTGAGCATCTACAGTAAGGTACAGATGCTCTTTGTTGTTTCAAGAAGACAGCCAATGTAATTCCCCCTACGGCAATATCAGGAATTGCATTCCTGATTTCATTTCTTTCCTTTTTATCCCCAGAAGAGAGCTAAACCATCCTCTCTAGTTTGTATTCATATATTCCTATTTCCCTATCCCATATTAATGCTGCGAGGAAGTTTGTTTGGGGCAATTGGGACTCTTGGACCATAACCAACTCAATTTTGTGGTTTATTTATTTATTTTTTTCAGAACTGACTGGTGTGAATGCAAAAAAACAGAAGAGAATATGTAGTAGCAGGGGGAGACTCATCCTAAAACTGATGTAAGATGCCAAGTTGGAGCAGCAGAGAGGGGTGACTTTGAAAGAGGAAGATGGGTAGCCCTCAGCGCTTTTCCCTCATCTCCAAGGAGGTGAGCCTCTGTGCATCGGCATGTCGTCCTGAGGCATTGCTCTTGTTAAGGTTATTAGAGAAGATGTTTAGTACTAATCAGCGGAGGACCAAAGGGACCACCACTAAATGGCTTCATCAACGCTAGACCTCGATGGTGATAAATCTACCTCCGAGCACTGCAAGGGTCTGCCTCTAAGCATGACTGTCTCTGACTGTGTAGGTGCAAAGCAGTGCAAAGTTAATCAGTACTTGAGAATTTAACGTGCATTTTCTTTATTATGCAGGAAAATATCCTTTTAATTAAACAATTAAGTACTCATCTGCTTTTCAAATTAAGTTAATCCCAGTGAAATTGTCGTAATTATTTAAATAGGTCAATTGTATTTGTCTTCAAATTGCTAATCTAATGGTCACACCATTCTTTAAGCAAGCTCCATTTTTAACGAAACAGAATAATAAGAAAATTATTTAATTAGGAAACCCTTCCATTCCTTTATTTTGTTGCTTTAATAGATCAGATTATTTCCTATTATCTTGACTTTGTTTTTAAAGCCAACCCATTCTCTTCCTTCACCCTGTGATCTAGCCCCGAGCAAACTAGCGCGTAATGTTAAGGCACTAACTAAAGTATGTCTGCACACGGACCCAGCAGAGAGAAAGAAACAATCATGTGTGAAATTAGATCCCAGCACAAAGACAGGGGAGTCGGTGCTTTAAAGTACACCAAGCTTTTAAGCTCTTAGGGATAGTCAAAAAAAAAAGAAAGACACAAAAATCTCTGCACTTTATGATTTTTGCAATTCGTTTCACTAACATTTGTTATGCTTCTATTTAGGAGAAATCACTCACAGATATCTAGATCTGAACCTGATTATGTCATAAAAAAGTCCCAAGATTGACAGCGGATAAAAAAAAGGTGATTTTTAGTTGTAACTGAAGTACAATATCACAGCTCTCTCATGAGTATTTATACCCGTTTGAACCTTTTTCATTTCATATCATGTCAAGAATAAAATCACACAATTATAATTTATATATATTTGATAGAAAAGCACAAAGTATTGCAAATTGTGAGCTGGAGGGAAACAATAAATGGTTTCCAAATGTACACAAATTAAAATCTGAAGAAGTTGTCATGCAGCCCGGTTAATATACAAAAAATGCATCAGTTATCCTTCATGTACTTTGCACAATACTTTTTTTTTTTTACAGTTTTAAATAAAAAAAAAAAAAAAAAAAACTGTCTGGATTGTTTGATAACTAGGATTAATTGGATTGAATTTTCTGTTTTTTTACCTTAAGACAATATTTGCTGTGTTGGTGCTCTATAAACTAAATTAACACATTTTTATTCAGTACCTTTTAATCTCTCGTCCCTAGTTGAAATAAAATCAAACCACTATGTATACCTTAAATCTAGGGGATAAGGAAGCTGGTTAGAGTAAATTTTAAGTTGGATGAGATTCACTGCAGAGAAATGCTGGACAAAATGACCTTAAACTGGGGAGGAATTTTACCTTTTTGATCTTTCACATAAAGACGGAGTTGAAGTGGAATTGTTACGATGAGATCAGATTTATTTTGCTCAATCCAAAATAAAGTGTGTAGAAAGATTTTGAATTTAATGTTAATAGATGCTCTCCATCTGATCTGACAAAATGACTACTTTGCATAATAATTATGCTAAAGATTTCCCTCTCTAAATTTATAAAGTTGGTAGACCCTGAGATACATTTTTTCCTCTGTTAACAGAATTTCAAATTATGTATTATTTCTTCCCTCTTTAAAAATATGGGCTACTTTCTGTTGGTCAATCTAAAAATCTCAATTTAATACACAATTATGCAGGTTTTTGCTTTCAGTATGACAAAAGTTTGTTTTTTTATGCTCTTGTAAGGCTCAGTGTTTGCAGAAATATTGGTTGTGAAGTAGCTAGCAACACATTCTAAAGCAGTACAAGACATCAGGCAGTACTTCTGCTTCTATGATTCTTTTATATGGCAGCTGAGCTCGGTGCCACATTTCAGCAAAACCAAGGATTTCCTCATGTTCATGATTTATCATTTGCATTGGAAATTCATAAAATCCCCGATGGTCTCCTCTGTGTGTGTATCATTCTCTTATTCCACAAACATACTATAAATCCTGAGTAATAATCGGCTACAGCGTGTGAATTTATAACATATGATTTCCTTCACATCTGACAGGTAACTGCAGCCTGAAATATACTTGCCTGCATGAACAGAGAGACAAAGGGGCTGTGATGGGAGATTTGGGATTTTTGAAGCCCCCTTTTCATTCTGGTGGATACATGGTGAGTGCATCATTGATACACCAAGAGGGCAACTGTGAAATAGAAAAGAAATCTATGCAATGTAGTGAGATCACCTTTTCTACCAAAAAGATAAAACTTGAGGAGAAGAGCTTTAATCCTTTCAGATTCCTAGATATATTAACATTATGTATAACCAACACACTGCTCTTCATTCCAACATGGATTCAGCTGAAGCCACATACTGCTCTGATCTGCCCTACATCACCCTCTTGAGAAATAAGATTTATAGCCTCTAATAGGACTTAATTTGCTCTTTTACAGTTCCAAGGATTTTACAAGGTTTTATTTCTTGTTGGATTTTTTTTTTCATACATGGATTAATGGTACCATTGGTTTTCTCACACTTCTTTTTCCTATAAGGCAGCCATTTTTTCACAGGTTTGCACTTCATAGAAAAGGGGATCTTAAACCATTCCCTCACAATTTCTCCTTCACAGGTTCCACACTTCAGTATTTGAGGTCCACCATCCTGATCTCTTTTTCTCTCTCTGTAATCTAACCCAAATCACATAACTGGGCTATGGTCCTTTGATAAATATATGCTGAAGTCATTAAAAACCTGCAGGCTTTGAGCGTCTGGACCATCCAAAGTCCTGGTGTTCTGTCAGATCAGCATACTCCGTCAGACCAGCATAGCCAACATGCATGCGCAAGACGTCAGATATGCGTTTATTCCTTTAGTGTTTTGCATAAAATAGACTTTAAACTACCTCGATAGGTGTGTATCCCTTTAGTCATGTACAAATAAAACAATTTAAGGTCAGATCATCATACGCTTCAAAAAACAGAAAAATTAAGTAATTACATTGTTTTTTCGTACATGAATAAAGGGATACATGTCCGTTGAGGTAGTTTAAAGTGTGTTTTTTGTACAAAACTTAAGGGATAAACGTGTATTCACTATGGGTATGCTGGTCTGACCGAGTATGCTCATCTGACAGAACAAAGGCTCCGTCTTATACGCTTTTTTTTTTTTTTTAATGATCCCACATGTTTACTGTACTGTTTTGAGGACTGAGATGGCCAAAGACAAGCTTGATTCTTGGACCATTTTTGCAATAATTTTGCCATATTGTTCCATCATTGGCCTGTTCAAACACCAAATGATTACCTACTTTCAGTTTTCCAGCAGAAACCGCCTAATTTGTGTTTAAATTATCCTGGTGTATCACAAAATTCATTATACTTTGCTCTCTTGCATGAGTTCTTATATGGAACTTAATAAACAGAGACCCACAGCATCACACACCTTCACTATACCTAACTATGGGCTTGAGGTTTTCCACATTATTTTTTTTAGGTCAGACTTAAACAGAACACTTGTCGGTAGAAAATTTGTATCCAGGATAATGGGAGCAAAGCCAAAAAATAAGAATAAATTATAAGTTAGGAAACGACTCATATTATTTTTTGAGATATGACAAAAATTACTTGTTTTCTGTCATGTTTTTCAAAACAGCTAGCTGGCATTTAGACAGCATGACAGAAGTTATCAAGACTTTACTTCTCTTTTTTTTTTCTTTTTTTTTTTACTATTTTAATATTATTTTCTGTGTGCTGCTGAGCTTGGTTTGTCATTGTTCAGTAGTCTAAAATTTTCTAATTATTATTTTGACAACAGATATGGCTCATTAAGGTAAGTAGGGATTTAACTTTAGCCATTCTGATATTTGAATATAAAAAATACCTGCCTTAACAGCCTGATGTTCTTTTGTCATTCCCATTTTTTAGCTGACCAAGAGCCAAACAGCAAAGTTACAAAAAAATAGAAAGCTACTGATTCTTGATTTAAAGCCACTAGACCCTCTTATCTATGATTTACAGAATCCCTTTTTGTTTTAAATTTTCATCGCACTGACAATTTCTATTAAAACAAATTACTTCTTGATTCATTCTGTTTTCCTCCACTGAATATATGTCTAACAAATAAAGATAGATTTTTCTTAAAAATAGATTACTTTTTAAGTTTTAAATGTTAGAGTTTAATTCTATTTACTGTTTTATTGTTGTTGGTGTTATTGTGAAACACTTTCTATAAACTGCTGCTGTTTATAAATGTGCTTTATGAATAAAAGTGACATTGAAATTAAACATGTTTATATACTTTTTAAAAACAGATACATGTGAATGTACTTTACTCTGTTTTGCTATGCATTCATATTTTGTTGTAAAACATGTTTTAATCTTTTCAGTTAGATACTGCTTCATGTTTAGCAATNATATATATATATATATATATATATATATATATATATATATATAAATTAATAGTGAGACATTTTCATTCTATTGTAAAAACAAAGTGTTGGAGAGGAGAAAGGACATATGGATGACAGCAGGTGTCTGAGAGCCTGAAGAGACGTAGGGAGGTTTGGAAGCAGGGAAACGGGCTGGGATCAGCAGGGAAGGGGAGTTTGGGATGGTCTAATAAATCGAGTGAGTGACTCCACTCTTTTTTGCCCGTGGGACAAATGTAGTTTTGCTCTCCGACGCAGCGCAGCACCAGGGAGTAGCGGGTAATGAGAGATTATTTCACCCTGTAGTGTTTGCTCATCGTCATCATCACTGCCACTCCCAGCTTCTCCAGCCTCCCAGGACACCCAGACACACACTTCAATAAAACAACAGAGAAGATGGAAAATGGAGTGCTTGGATGCAGTTGTGCAGTTACATACAAATAATCAGAGATGAGGCAGAGTCATAGTCACACAGAGACATTCATTACAAAAGCTTGCTGGTCTGGTGAGTAAGGTCAGACAGTAAGGTGTGGAGCTGCTGGCTCCTTCAGGGATTTCATATTCAAGTGGGAAGTCCACTCCCTCATACCTTTCAATGACACTAGTTTTTTTTTTTTTTTTTTGCAGGACCTTATTTGCCTGAGGAAGCCAATCTGTTTTAGGATATGCCCTACACGTGTCAAAGCAAGACTCCTTTTTTTTTTTAATGTTTCTCTTCCCTGTCTCTGGTCCATGGTCCTTCTTGCCTGGAGCCAGACTCGGACCACTAGAAGTGGGCTGGTGGTCCCAGCAGGGGCCCAGGCTCTGACAAACCATTAACATGAGGGAATTAAAGTCATTAAGCCTGGAAGGGCAATAGAGGACGAGTCCTTCTAATGGAGAAGAGAGATGAGGTTTACAAAGTTAGGTGTGGAAGTTAAAAGATAGACAAAGAATATTTGGAAAAACTGTACAGTTATGCAAATTGCAGATATTTAAAACTAATCATACAAAACAGTCTTTAAATATCTTCAGGTTTTTACAGAATATTTATGACAATTGATTTTTTTTTTCTTTACAGCTGATCTATATGAAATTGATTCGTTTTTATTAATTTAGAATTTAATGTTTAGTTTTAAGGCTGCATGGTGGTGCAGTTTATAGCACTGCTGTCTTGCAGCAAGAAGGTTCTGGCTTCGATTCCAATGGAGTTTATACATTTAGTTTTTATGTTATCCCCTTGCATGTGTGAGGTTTTTCTCAACAGGAATAGTCAAAGGTAATGTAATGGTCCTGTATGGCTTTAACCTCCAGCTTAACAAAGACTACAGCTAAACATTCAGACAGAGGTACAGTGGGTAGTTTCAGTTTAAACATATTCATGTCAAGGATTGTTCCTAAAGTAAATTCTCTATGTCACACTTTTTAGATTTTTATTTGCATAGATTTAAAAAAAGGAATTCTCTTTTTATTTTTCAGTTTGTAATTTTATAATTGTTTGTGTTGGTCTATTGGGTTAAATCCTAATAAACTAATTCTTATTTTGTGGTTATAATAGCACAGATTAAAAAAGGGTTCTGCGTGAGAAAGATAGCGCACCTCACCCTCAGACCACTCATACTGGCACTAAAGAGAATGTGACCTTCCTATTCTTTCTATGCCACATACTGGAAAACATTTTATAACAATGAGAAAAAACAACAACATATCATTAGCAGCAAAATATTTAAAGACCCTCATTTAAGCTTAATTTCATACATATCAGTAAAATGAATTTATATGTGTTATGCTAGAATGTGGCATTATTACTTAAAATCAGTTTTGAATTGTCCTATTTAACTTTAAATCCATGGTAATTTTGCTTAAAAAGAAACTTTTTGCCTGAAGTGGCCCTCATGAGAGAAGTAAAATTGGTTAGAGAGTTCCTCTCCTCCGCTATGACCCTTCCTTTGAGTCTCCATCATTTCATTAACTTCTTCCTGGTAGCCAGACTAGCTCCTATTATCTTTACACATGCAGACTGGGAACTAAAGCTGGAGGATGGACTCTGTAATTATGCGCTTTTAAAACAAAGTCAGGATGCTGACTCTGAATCTGCGGTCTGATGGTTGCTCCAAAATGGACAGATTTCATTGGTTTAACCACGTGAGCACACACAGTGTGAAGGATGTACTCTTCTTTTTCCACTGAACGTAATTAGGAATCTCATTTGGTGTCGAAAATGTGAAAAAGTGGAAAGAACAAAAACCCAATCAATGAGTTAATGGGTGCTTTTGTTTTTTCCTGAGCTTAACATTTGAATTTTGTTTCCATTAACTTACAAATGACTTTTTTCTTCATTAGAGTGCAAATGATTCCTCGAAGTTGCTGTATGTCTTCCTCAAACTCAATTAGACATCAAGACTCATCTTAAGCTTTTGAAAAAGATTGAACTTTTTTTTGTTTTTCATAAGCAGAATATTTTTTCCTCAAACTTCATGGGTGTTGAATTAAATCCACAAATTACATTGGTTTAGATACACTGATGGTTAGATTCCTAACATTTCCTCCCGAAACTCAGGCTCTCACCATGAAGAAGATGTCTCTACACAGAGGGTAAAGAATCAATGAATACAATCTTGCCATTTAATAAATAATTTTTCATATTATATTCAATATATGTGATCCTGACCTTTACGTTAATAATTACTTTATCCCAAAGGAACAAGTAAACATATTTTATACATGTAGATTTTTTTTAGTTTTTTATGGGATGGGAATTATATTAATGTAAGGTAATTTACTAAAGTTGGATTTGCAAAAGAAGGTTAAAAAAAAACCTCATAGTTCTAATTCCACCTTCCCATATTTATCTCAGCTCAACACTTGTATTTTTGACGTAATATGAGTTACAAATCTAAACAACTGTTTTTCAGGAACCATTATCTTGATCTAAAATGAAGTTAAAATAATGGAATTCAGCTGTAATATTCTTTATTCATTTTTTCCTAATCTTTACAAAATAGTTCCCAAACATTTTATGACAGTTTCCCAAATTTTCCAAGTATCACACCACCTTTTCCAATTCAAATATCTGGGTTTTTAAAAGTTGTTATTTGAGCTGTTGTCTCATTTCAGTCAACTTGAAACAACCTTATTGTTGTCCTCTGGCAAGAGAAAATCTGTCCACAAATTTTAGGACATTTCTGGACAATTCTCTGCTGAGTGCCTCTTAATGTGGGGTGGATGTTGTTGCCAGATTTGCTGGTCTGAATGTTTCAGATGTTGCACATCTACTAAGATTTCAAGCATCTAAGGGTTAAAACCCTTCCTTCTCTGTTATGAAATAGTGTGAACGGAAAGTCGTTTTCCCCACATCTATATAAACTCATTACTATAGAAATGGCTGATGGATTTTATTGTTTGAATTGAACACACCAAACCTACCATAAACAAAGCTGTGTTTTCCTTTTAAAGCAGTTCAAAATGGACAGTTGTTATGACCTCTCTTTCATATACAATATCATCCGGTGTAGTTAGAGTAGCTTGTTAAAACCTGTAATAAGTCTTTAACAGGTGGCTGATGGATTTTTAAAAAAGTTTTAATGTTCATGCTCCTGCATCTTATAATGACTTGAGTCTTCTCAAAATTCAGATGGTGGAAAAATGGTAGCGATAATATATATAATATGTTTGCAGAAAACGACCTAACTGTTTTGTTGTGATTTTGTATTAAGCCAGACTAACTAAAACCACATCTCACTGCAGTTCAGCTGTACATCTTTAAAGGTATATATCTAACAGTTTTCCCCATCTACAGTCTTAAACTTATTTCCTAAATAAGCAGCAAGTCAGGTTTTCCACACATTTTTAACTGGATTTAAGTGTGAATTTTGCCTAGGCCCTTCTAACACAAGAATTTGCTTTTCCATTGTAGCTCCCTCTGTATGTTTAGGTCTTGAGAATTTTGCACCCTAACAGGTGTTGTTTCAGGATTTCCCTGTATCCAGCCATCCTCCCATCAACTATTGTATCCCAGTATCCCTGTCCATGGCTAAAAGGAGGTACCCCCACAGCCCATACTGCCATTAAACATATTCACCTGGGGAAGGTTTGTTTAGGAAAATGTGCATTATTTGTTATCCTCAGCAGATATTTAATGTCTGCTAAGAGCCTCAGTTTTCTTATCGTGGAAATGCATTTTAACATGATAAATTTTTTAAAACTGTCATGTATCTTTTCCCTTCGACTTTGCATTTATGCACCAAGTTATACTGTTCTATAGTAGTCTACAATGTCTTGATAAATTACCCGACAGTTTGCAGCTGTAACATTAAAGTTCAGAGGATGCAAATGTTTGGAATGTGTATTCTATATATAAATCCTGCTTAATTTAAATACATTTGAATTTATTTACATAGAACCAATATAAATTCCATAAAAATAAAGCCAATTCAATAATGCAGACAGACTTCCGGAGTGTTATATATTTATATTCATCAGTTATGTCAAGTTCATTTTTTTTCTCAAACTGGTATAAAAAAAAAGTTTTCCATCACAGGAAACCCAGCTGATTTGAGTCACTACCCTCGATCATTACTCCTCCTGGTGTCACGTTTTGGTTGTGGTTTAGAGCAGGCATCCTCAACCTCGGTCCTCGAGGCCCGCTGTCTTGCAGGTTTTAGAGGTTTCCTTGCTCCAGCACAGCTGATTTTAATTTAAAGCTGATTAACAGGCATTTGGTCTACTGCAATCATTATAATCAGCTGTGCTAATGCAGGGAAACCTCTGAAACCTGCAGGACAGCGGGCCTCGAGGACCGAGGTTGGGGATGCCTGGTTTAGAGGACCCAAATGCAGAGGCAGAGAGGCTGAGGTGATTTCTTGTAGTTTAAATGCAAACAATAATAATAAAGGCAAAATCCAAAAATCCAACTAAAAATGTAACACAGACCAGAACCATGGAGACATCAGGGGAAAACACACACAAGGAGCCAGGGAGAGATGAGGTGAGCAGAAAACAGCGACGACAGGACCAGCAACAACAAGGAACCAACCAGGAGTGACAGCAGAAGGAGAGTATATGTAGCTGACTGAGACAATGGCAGGGCTAACGAGCTGACAAGGAGCAGGTGTGAAAGGAGACAACGAGGGAGCCAAGGGGAAAGGAACACACACAAGAGGGCAACAGAGGAAAACAACAGGAAAACCTGCGAACTAACATAAATCTAGAAACTACAACAAAATAGGAATTAAACCAATAAAACTAGGAAACATGGAGCAAAATAAAGGACAACAGAACCAAAACCATGACAACAGGTTGAGCATTTTGGTGATGTGGCCTTTTGTTTCCATCATGTCATCGACTTGTGTTGAAAATTAATGTTGTTCAGTAATTTTCTGGAATATTTTCTACTGAAAATATCAATACAAAAATCTGCCTTATTATTGATCAAATGAGATCAAATGAGGGACAGTGTAGCATCGACTTGCATATCTGAGCATATCTCTTAATCATTTTTACCTCCTGTATAAAATAATTGTCGTCATCATCGTTATGCTTTCGCCTTGAGAGTAAACACAGGCAGGTGTTCACTTCTATAGACTCTCCAGGGCAAAGAAATCCACAACCACAAAATTCATGATGCTGCAGTCTGCCTAATGTGAAATCTAATCATCAACAGCACTCAGCGTTATTTCACACCTGCTTCATTAGTTGCTAAGTTTAAGTTGTTGTTTTTTTTTATTACAGACAATCGAACTAGAGGGGTGTGATTCCCTTTATAACAATGTTTTTGTTATGACAGCCAAAGTTTAAGGATCTGAAAAAGGAATTGTTCATTTTTTTTAGCTCAGAGAGTTATATGTAGGACAAAACCCTTGAGAGCTGTTCTTTAGCTCATTGGGATGGATCCCAAAAATCCCAGCTTTGCCTCGAATGTCTCTGTGATCTATGTTGATGGAAGTTAGATGAACGCATGAAGTTTCTTTAGATCTAAAAGCACCGGAGGTCTCTCCCACACTTTGATGGAAAAGCAAACAAATGTCCCTCTTCAATTCCAGCACTTTCTCCCCT